ACTAACCTGGTCTAAACTGTAAAGCTGGGTGTGAAGTTAGTGAAGCTAGTTAGGGAATTGACGTTTGCCACCTAATAATGTCAAGGTCACAGAAATATTTCACAACAATCAAGTCCTTAGCAGCCTAAAGATGCAATCACCAGGTTCAATGTTAGCAAATCTCCCACTTTAATCAGTGGTCAAAGCAGGGCTGGCTTGTGGGTGGGAGACAGCGCCCTCCTGAGGGTGGGTCAAGGACATTCGCTGGGGACCCTCCTGCTGACTCTGAGATAGGCTGTTGCTCGTCTTCAAGTAGGTGAGACAGGCTGTTGCTGTTCTTCAACGAGGTGAGATAGGCTCTTGCTGGTCTTCAATGAGGTGAGACAGGCTGTTGCTGGTCTTCAGTGAGGTGAGATAGGGTGTTACTGTTCTCTGATTAGGTGAAGTAGGCTGTTGTTTTTTTCAGTTAGGTGAGACAGGCTGTTGCTGTTCTCCAATTAGGTGAGACAGGCTGTTGCTGGTCTTCACTTAGGTGAGATAGGGTGGTGTTGGTCTTCACTTAGGTGAGACAGGCTGTTGCTGGTCTTCAATTAGAAAAAGTGTCCAATTCATCCCATATTACCCTGGGAGGCTGGCTTTGTGTGCCAGAGCAAGACAATCTGTTACAATAGCATTAAAATATAGCTGGATTGATTGAAATGTGCTCTGGAAACAAGTAATAGTGTTTAAAGCACGACAGAGGAATAAACCCAACACGCCTCAGGTTTATTTTCTGAAAACGTTTTTAACAGGAAGGAAGAGGAACGACATTGAGAAGTGCCCGTCACCTTTCTAGATGGAGCTGGGATTAGTTTCAGAGGGAGGGAGAGAAACCCGGCGGAAGTCGTGAGGCTCACGGATGTTCCCTTGCGAGGGGCGCGGATTCTGTTTTCCTGCTCAATCCTTTGTTTACGGACGGTCGCTGTAGGTGCATTTTGCTGACAGCCAGGGTGCCCACCCACTCTGTCCCCGGCACTGGGCGTGTGGGGACACAGGCGGCCCTGCCTGGCCCCGGGGAGCTCCAGGGCTGACGGAGAAGCAGTCTCGGGCGTGGGCGACGCAGGTGTGCGGAAGTGGAGCTCTTCCTAAGGTGCGATGCCTGCTTGTCGGGGGAGGAAAGGTGTGGGACGGCGACACCTTTGAGTTGCGTCTTGAAGGACGTGTGCTGGGTGGAAGAGAGCAGGTGGCTGTTCTCCAGCAGGTTGGACTTGCAGGGGCTGACAAGTTCAGGAGCAGGGCAGGGTGTGGGGTGAGGGGCTGGATGCCCGGTTGTGATGGGAGGAGTTGGGACTCTATCCTGGAGGGAGGTGCACCTCGGCCTCTGCAGGCAGACGTGGCCTCTGCCAGGTGCGCCCTGCCTGCTCCTTCCCTGGGAGAGCCTCTCAACCCTCCTGTCCTGGTCCCCGGCCACCCCCTGCTCTCAGCGTGTCCGGAGTTCAGTGCCAGCCACTCCTTGCACGTGCAGCTGCGTTCTCGAGGTTCACTTATTGCTGGCTGAGCGCCAGCGTGGGCTCAGAGCCCCGTGCCTGCAGTCCCGTGGCCTCCACACGCAGGGGGAGGCAGGTGCGGTTATGAGCCCCACCGCCCCTGGGAGGGACGGAGACCGCGCAAGGTGCCTGAGGCAGGGAGCTGGTGGTTGGGGTCTTGGGGTGACACCCAGCAGAGGAGCACCTGCCGCCTGCCGGGCTCCACAGGGAGGTCACGGGGTCCTCCTAAGAGGGATGTTTACTTAGAGAGCCCCTGACCTTAGGGCTCCTCATCCTCCACCCTGGTGGGGTCGCGTGCAGTTCCGTGACCCCAGCGCCGGCTCACGAGCCCAGGTGGGTCCTGTCGCACCGTGCTGGGCGGGGGCTCTCGGCTGGCACCCTCCTGTCTGGCCTGGTTCTTCTTCCCTCTCCCTGGCTTGTGCACCCTGCGTGGGGCACCCCCACCGCGCGACTGTGAGCTTCACTTCCTCCGAAAGGCCGGCTCTGGGGCTCACCCCACCTCCCTCCACAGCCACCCGTGGAACCCGCACCCGCCCCTCTGAGCTCGACGTGAGCCAAGCCAGGCGCTGCATTCGAGGTTCCTGTGTTTCTGCCCGCAGCAGCACGCCGCCCTTCCCTTGTCTGCCCCGGCTGCATTCCCGGGGATGTTCAGTAGACGCCTAGTGAGGGAATGGGTGGATTCACTCACCAGAGACGCGCAGATGCGAGAAAATTGGAATGAAATTTGAACTGTGCTTCACTGCAACCCGTGCAGACGGTGGGTCTATTAGGGTGGCAGTTCGCTGGAGCAGGATCATCGCTTATTCCCTCAGCAAACGTTTACTGAGCACCTGCACGTGCCGGGCACTGTTCCGGGCTCCGGGAATTCACGAATGGAGAAACAAGCCGGCATCCCTGTCCCCTGTCCTCGTGCGGCTTCTAATGTTCTGGTGGTGAACGACAGACAACAGACGTCACCGATGCGGTGTCTGTGGATGGTGTTCACCGCTGCGGGTGGAGTGTGGGGACGGGGCGGGAATTCGCCGTGACTGGCCGGTCCTCGCGGAGAGCCACACCCGCGCCGCTCCGGCTCTGGAGGAAATAGGGTGTCTGTAAGAGCCTGCACACTTCACCTGCTTGGGTAAGGCTCGAGGCGAAAGGTGACTGGCTTTAACGGCACAGTGCCCACTCTTTGTCCTGCTGCCTCTAAGGTGCTTTTGCTGCAGGTGACTTTCCAGGTCGGGGCAGGGGGAGCCTCGTTTGTAGCCGTTGCCTCGCCCCAGGTGATGGGGAGCCCGGCAGGTAAACCGTGGGCTCTCGTGGCCTGTGCGCTTTGCTTTGTGTCACAGCTGTTCCCGTGCCCTTGTGACGAGGGTGGGTCACTGTCATTTGTCATTGTCCTTTGAGTGTTACTTCAGGTGTAATAAGAGATGTGTGCATGTGTGTTTGTCTGTATCTTGGGGGCTAAAGCTATGGAAAATGTATTCTAACGGCTAGAGCCGGCTGATGATGCCGAAGAGATTTTCAGAACCCCAACCCCCGGCTCCCTCTGAACTGCAAGCACCACGCACCATTTTCTGTTTCAACCAGCCATTCCTCTAAGGGCTCCTTTCCTGTACTTAACAGCACGATTTCAACTTGCAGGAAAACTCCTTAAAATAAATAGAAACATTTGTGAGGTCCCTTGTATGAGGCTGGAGAACTATTTTCACACTTTAATTCCCACGAGGATTGAAAAAAAAAAAAACCTGGTAGTTGCATCACATACGATATTTTAATGGTACCAGGTAGGTGCTTTTAGCTTGACATTGCCCAAGTGACATAGAAAGCTCAGGAGAAATGTCTATTTATATACTCTAGCCTGGATTTGCTTCCAAATACTTGAGAAAGGATAAAAAAAAAAGAAAAAAAGAAAACCTAAAAAAGTGCACTGTAAAGATAGTTTCTGGGCTAGAATTGGGATGGTGCTGAGAATGACAGGCAGTCCCTGGTTTAGGAAGTCTCGACTTTACGATGGTGTGAAATGATGCGTATTCGGTCGAAGGCTGCACGATGCCCTCGTGAGCCGCGACACACAGGCAGCCGGGCCACCAGGAGGTGGGAGGACCACGGACTGTACGCCGTGTCACGTGACCGGATGAATGTGCCTACGTGCGCTCTGAGCACTTGTAAAGTAGGCTGGGGTGAGCCGTGACGTTCGGTAGGTTGCATGCATTAAGTCCGTTTTCCACTTGAGGTATTTTCAACTTAGGAAGACACACACATATACATATCTCTTATTGGTGAGCACTGAACTCTGACCTTTTTCTTTTGCTAAAAACTCCTTCCTAAGGAGGCCAGCTGGGTCAGGCTGACAAACGGTGAATTCCCACTAAGCGCCAACCTGATTCTGGCATGGCATTAACATCACCTAAAAGATAAGAAGCCCCTGTCTTAACTCAAGCACCCTAGCAGACGCCTATCGTAAATTTAAAGCATCTTAAAACATCCTAGCAGGCGCCTATTATAAATTTAAAACGTCTTCCTGTCTGGACCTCCCACAGTGCTCACACCCTTATCTTAAAATAAGCATATCCTTTCTGGTCTTCTAGATAAAGTCTAACTCTCTCGGCCAATTGCCAGCTGAAGAATCTTTAAACCCACCTATAACCTGTAAGCCCCCGCTTGGAGATGTCCCACCTTTTTGGGTCAAACCAATGTGTGCCTCTCATGTATTGATTTGTGACTTTGCCTGTAACCCCTGTCTCTCTGAAAATGTATAAAACTGAACTGTGACCCAGCCATGGCGAGCCCACTTGCTCAAGGCCTCTTGGCAGTGGCTCTGGGTCATGGTCCTCAAATTTGGCTCAGAATAAATCTCTTTGAGATTATTTTACAGAGTTTGGCTTTTTGCCGTCGACATTGGGCTTGTCGGGACGTGGCCGAGTCGTGAATCAAGCAGCATGCGTCGGTTTCCCACCTCTGCTTTGTGTTCCTGTCATGCTTTGTTGTTGCCGACTACAGATTTTTAAAAAATCTGAATTTCCCTTTATTGTAGCCCCAAAGGAAACTGCCGCGTGGCTGGTTTTCGTCAGAGATGCTCTCGGCTCGCTCAGAATGTCCAGGGGAACGGTTTGTGGTGGTTGTCACAGCGGTGTTTACTGGGCTGTACTACGAGTCCCTGCAGAACTGGGGGGCATCCCTGGACCTGCTTCCTCTCTAGGCAGCCCCTGCTGTGCCGGGCGTCGGGGAGGCAGCCACAGCGCGGAGGGGAACGGGCCCTCTCTCTCCCCGGAGGTGCTGGGACGGGGACAGAGGGATTTTTGCCACTTTTCAGAAGGGAACTGCAAGGGCCCAGGTAGCAGAGACTGTGCTTGAAGTGGGTTTCGAGGAGGTGCCCGGACGTCCACCTGCTGTGCTCCTGAGGCCTGCGCCTCCCCCGGCCACACCCGGAAACGCCGATGCCAGACCACACACACCCAGAGACGCGGGTGCCACCGCTCCTCACCTGCTTTTTGTTCTTATTTCGTGCCTTAGGTGGATTCCAAAGGAAAAGAACCTCAGAAATATGACAGCATACCACCCGAAGCCCAGGATTCCGTTTATTACGCCAAAGAAGAAAAGAAAACATTGGTAGAACCTTTAATCCAACGTGGCGCAGGTGACGTGAGATTTCATTCTGCTGTAGGTGACACAAAATGCCCTGGGCTAAGAATGTGTTTTTTTTTTTCCCCAGACCAATTTTATACTGCAAAACTATTTCTCGGTTTGTGACTATATGATTTATTAACAAAGTGTTCAGCTCGTAGGGCAGTGTTAGGCAGAGCAGGAAAGCAAACTTGTGGCCGGGTGCGGTGGCTCAGGCTCATAATCCCAGCACGCAGGGAGGCTGAGTTGTGAGGATCTCTTGAGGCCAGGAGTCCAAGACCAGCCTGGGGAACATAGTGAAACCCTGTCTCTACAAAAATAAAAAATAAAAAAATTAGCCAGGTGTGGTGGTGGTGCACACCTGTAGCCCCAGCTACTCTGGAGGCTGAGGCAGGATAATTGCTTGAGCCCAGGAGTTCGAGGCTACAGTGAGCTATGATTGTGCCACTGCTCTCCATCCTGGGGGACAGAGTGAGACCCTGTCTCTAGAAACAAAAACACAAAGGGTGCCAAAGAAAATTCAGTCACCATGGGTTAAAAATCTCCTCCTTGACAACACACACTGCACACAGTAACTGGAGCTGCCCAGCTCCCTGGGCCTTCGCTCCGGGAGGCAGAATGGTGCTCGGGCGTGGGCTTTGGGTTCAAATCCTGGCTATGGCCCCACTGAGCCTGTAAGGAGGGCGGATTCCTCAGCCACCAGTGGGCATGTAAGTTTGAGGTTGCCGTGAGTGCTGAGCAGCAGGTGTGTGGAAGAGTGCCTAGAACACCGGAGCTTCCTGATGAGGGTCACTCCCCTGCCCTTTCTCTCACCTTCCAACCTGGCACCCCCGAGAGCAGGGACCCCTCCAGCCCAGCTCTGGGGCCGAGGGCCAGGAAAGGAGGAGGAGGACCAGAACGGCCCAGGGGAGGGGAAGGAGCTCTAGGGCTCTTGCCTGGGAATGGAGCTGGCCTGTGGGTGGCGTTTCCCACTTGGGACGACTGAGCTGGCCAGGGGCCACGTGCATGTCCTCGTGGACATTGAAGGAACTGGCTGGCGACTTCTTTTTCTTCTGCTGTCACCTGTCACTTCTGATCAGGGTGACGAGCAGATTCTCGGGAACCTTGGGACTGTGCAAGCATTTAACACACCCAGCCGTTGATTAAGTCAAGTACGTTAAGGCGCATGGCTCTAGTGCCTCGTGGTTCTTAAACATATTTCGAGGCACTGAAGCTGCATTGCCTTAAATACGTTCTATGATTTTGCTGTCGTGGGGTTGCCTGGTGTTTATTTCTCACTGAGCTGACCGGACACGAGCTCGCCGGCCTTCACTGTATTTCGTCCGTGGACTGACTGTGGCCGGGGGGATGACATCGTCCATCATCCATGGACGGTGCTGAAATTGAGGCCACTGGGCCGGGCACCTCGATAAAACCAAACACAGGGGGTGCGGGGGGAGTGGGGCGGGAGGGTTGGGGTCTGGGAACCTGGGCCAGGTGGCTGCCCGGTGACACAGGAGGCTCAGAGATGCCGAGCCGGGTGACTTGGTTTGGGCTGGAAAATGTAGAAGGACCTCAGTTTCCCCGGTGGTGTGAAAAGTCTGTCCGTGTTGTTTTCCCGCAGAGGGTGACGTGTTCAAAGCGCAGACGCCCAGCAAGGAAACGCAAGGGGCTCTGGAGGTCAAAGAAGACCGGAGCGTGCAGGTGGAGATGCCCCTGGACCAGGTGGGTAGCATGGACCTGCGGCCGCACTCCTGCCTTCAGTCCCGCCCCATCAGCCCCTCCTGCCTCAGCCGCATCCTCCTCCCCTCCCCCAAGTTCTCTCTGGCTTCTAGAATGTTCCCTGACCCCTCCAGTGGGCGGCTGCTCGTGCTCCTTGTCCTACAACATATTCCTGTCTGCCCAGTCCTGCCGCACAGGCTTTTCCGCTGGGGGTGGGGGGGCCCTTTTTGGCACTGGTCCGGGAGTGACGGCAATTAGATTATCGCCTTGGTCCCTCTCTGAGCTATTCGCTCCATGAGAAGGGACGTGGTCTGCCCTGCTCGGTGTGGTGGCCCCCATCCCTTGAGGAGCTCCTGGCGTGGAGGCGTCCCGGTGGTTTTCTGTGGAAAGGCTGAGTGATGGGGTAAGCGGTGCATGGACGTGGCCGTGGGACCCGGAGCCTCGGTCGTCAGCCGTGGGTGGGAACTGAGGGTGGGGATGCTCCGTGAGGGCCTGGCCACCGCCCCCACCCCTGGCTGCATGGAGGAGGGGCAGGGTAGGGTCCTGCGGAGGGGGAGGCCCCACCCCACATGTGCCTTGGGGAGGCTCCCCGGCCCTCCACCTGCTCCTGCAGGTGGAGACCACAGTGACTCCAACCTGTGACTGTGTTTTCACCGCCCACCTCTGTCTACACTGCCCACCTCAAGGCATGAGAAGTATGTTTCAATAGTTGTTTTTCTTTTCTTTTTGAGACAGAGTCTCACTCTGTTGCCCGGCCGTGGCATCAGCCTAGCTCACAGCAACTTCAATCTCCTGGGCTCAAGCGATCATCCTGCCTCAGCCTCCCGAGTAGCTGGGACTATAGGCATGCGCCACCAGGCCCGGCTAATTTTTTCTATATATTTTCAGTTGGCCAATTAATTTCTTTCTATTTATAGTAAAGACGGGGTCTCACTCTTTCTCAGGCTGGTTTCGAACTCCTGACCTTGAGTGATCTGCCCACCTCGGCCTCCCAGAGTGCTAGGATTACAGGCATGAGCCACGCACGGTACCTGGTCTATTTTTTTTTTTCTATTCTTGGTGGTTGTTGCTAACCGAAGTTTTAAATGCAGACACGATCCTGGTGTAATGACTACTGTCGTCACAGCTGTTTGTGCACAATAAGCATCTTTATGAATTTCAGTTGCTGGTGTATCTGGTTTCTGTTGCATTGAGGTTGTGGGGTGAATGTGGTCACCCCTGAGGAGTGTGAAGAGAGAGGAAGGAAGGGAGTGGCCTCCCCCCCACCCCCCCGTGCATCATGGGAGCGTGAGGATGGGCCCGGCCCGGCTGGGTGCTCCACCAGCCAGTGAGGAGGGCAAAGGGCCTTTGTCTGACGTTCTTCTCGGCAAATGCAGATGTTCTTGGAGACGATATTAACACGAGTTCTGTGGTTTCGAGGGACATGGAAACACTCCTGGCTGTGGCTGCGCCTGGGGTACAAGGACCGAGGGTGGGTCAGCGTCCACCTGCCCCCGAGGCTGGGCTGCCAGGCGTGCGGGCGCTGGAGGGAGCCCGGTGTTGGGGGACCCTCCCTGCACAGCATCTGTGGGGGGAGGCCCTACGCACCCTACTCCCGCCTACCGGGGGCCGACACACAGCCGGGCGCCCACGGACGTTTGTGAAATACAGCTGACGCTGATGTCACGCTATTCGATTACAGGGCTGACTTCTGTAGAGACATGGCATGCTCTTCTGCCGTGTCTTGATTGTAGCTTTCTGGGTTGGTCTGATCATCTCAACTTATTGTTTCTTTTTTCTTTTTTTTTTTTGAGACAGAGTCTCACGCTGTTGCCCGGGCTAGAGTGCCGTGTCAGCCTAGCTCACAGCAACCTCAAACCCTTGGGCTCAAGCGATCCTCCTGCCTCAGCCTCCCGAGTAGCTGGGACTACAGGCATGCGCCACCATGCCTGGCTAATTTTTTCTATATATTTTTAGTTGGCCAATTAGTTTCTTTCTATTTTTTTTTTTTTCCAGTAAAGACGGGGTCTCACTGTTGCTCAGGCTGGTTTGGAACTCCTGACCTTGAGCAAACCTCCCGCCTCGGCCTCCCAGAGTGCTAGGATTACAAGTGTGAGCCACCACGCCTGGCTGTCAACTTGTTTCTTATCACGCCTGGGGGTGGGATGCTTTCTCCAGGGTGGCGGTGCTGTAAAGATAAAATGTTGCAAGACCCAACACCCCAGCTAACACGTGTGTGAATGGGGGGTCAAACCTCGAATGAAGAAGGGAGCTTCAGCATGAGGGAGTCTCTAAACCAGGCCGTAGCTTTGTGGTTGATGATAGTCATTAACAACAGAGCATCAGTACAGAGCAAGTCCGCACCGGGGCTCCTCAGATCCTCCGTGAGGACATCCGTATACATCACTAAGCTCATCGTCCAGGTCTGGATGAACCGAGGCTGGGGCCTGTCCTCTGCCCTGCTCAGGGGTGGCATGCTGTCTTGGTTTTTGTGGTAGGTGAGCGATTGGATGGTGTTGGCCTCTGACCCGGCCTGTGCTTCGTTCCAGCGTTGGACTTCCAGCCAGGGCAGGGACGTCGGTGCTTGTGCGGAGGGGGACGGCAGCAGGACGGCGGCACCCACTTTGGGGAGGGAGGCCAGAGCTCAGCTCTACGGTGAGCCGTTGGTCCCGCTGGTGTCGCCTTCCAGACAGTCCAAGTCCACTGCCGCCCATACGGCTCCCAGACGTTCCCATTCTTCATGCTCCCGCCTTCCGATTGCTTTCTTCTTAGCTCAGAGCAACGCACACGCTTTCCACTGCAAGATCCCTGTCTGTCCTCTGGCTTCTGTCATTGGGCTTCTACTTCCAGACGCATCCATCTCTGCAGAGCCTTATCCGCCCGCGTCACTAGGAGGGTCCTGCTCATGTCCCGGGGCTCCCGGTCATTTTCAAGCTCGTTCTTGTGGCACAAATGGCACGAGAACCCGTGGGATCTGTTGACGCTTTTGACTCGAGAGAAATCGAGGTCGAGGGTGCCAGGTGAGGGAAGCTGCACCTGGAGTCGTCGATGCCGTCACCTGTACGTGAGGGCTAAAGCTTCAAGTCACAAGCGGGTGTGCCTGAACTCGGCGGCGTGGCCAGCCCGGAGGCCTGGCTCGTGGGAATGCGTGGCAGCCGCAGGAGCGGGTGCAGGTGCAGGTGTGGCGAGACACGCCCAGGAGGGAGGGTGTTGCACGGGTCCTGTCGTGGCTTTGTGGTGGGGGCAATCGCCGTCTTTACGTTGCCTCCTTTATTCCTCCCAGGCTCACGATCTGCTCTTTTTTTTTTTTAGTTTTTACTTTAAGAAATTATGTACTTTCAAATGTTTGTTTCCCTTGCGTTTAATGCATTCCGTTGTCTGAGCCCCACCACAACAGCGCCGTCGGCAGGGCTGCTCGGGGGGAAGGAGGCACGTTCACGGCCCACCACGCGAGCTCCCTCCCCCAGTGGTGAATTTTCACGCTGGCTTTTACTTCTCAGTCAGAGTCGGCGTACCTCAGCGTGAATGAAGAAACAATTTTTTAGCCCTTAACGGTCCTGCAAAAAGTGGCACGTGGATGTTAAAAATTGACGTCCAAATTCTACCTGATTTGAGACTACGTTTCCTACAACAGCAATGTCCGCTGCCAGAGACAGGATTGCATTGATTTTCGTAAATACTTGAAAGGCGTCACATGCCGCTGCAGTTGCAGGACCCGTGTTGGCCTGGGACCCTCACCCTTGATTTCTTTTGGGGAAGAGAGCCTGGATTCACTCCTGCACGTGGCTGACTCTGCCGTCGCGTGGGCTGCTGTGCCGTGCGCAGGTCGCGGGCGGCGGCACATCCAGGTCTGCAGGTGTGAGGCCTGAAGAACCGTGCATGGGCGAACCACAGAACGCTGGGCTCACTTCTGACTCTACTGAAATTCCACTTATTTTTGGAGAGTCTCCAGGCATCAGTGCAAAAGGAGAGTATCTTTTATTATTCTCAGCCGCAATGCGAACCGCGCCCGGCCACTGCGCCTCCCAAGGCCCAATGCCTTTCGGCTTGCCAGAGGAAGTGCTAAGGACACAGGCACTAAAGTGAAACCAAGTAATCCGGCTAATTAGGAGAAGGTCAGTGTAAATTGTGTAATCTGTGACGTGTTTAATTAGAAAAACACGATGAAGCTCTAACGCTTTGGTATTTTAGGTGTGCGAGTGACACTGGCTGAGCTAACGCAGGGCCGTGGGGCATTTGCTTTAATGAGTCAATAAAAGTATAATTAGCTGCTGTATCTATAAGGACGACTTAGCTATAAAGAGCAGAACTTGGAAAAGTGTGGCTCAAGAGCATGTATCCACGCCACGTAGCGAGGGTCGCAGAGCCCTTCCGAGAGGGCGGCCGAGCGCGCCAGCTCGGAGGCTGGACGTGAGCGGGACGTCCGGGTTCTTCCCCTGCCTCACCTGCCCTGCCCAGCACCTGGCCTTTGCCTCGGCTTGGTGGTCACCTCAGCTCTGGGGCACATTGAAGCCCACGGCCGTTGACGAAAGCAGAGAGGCCATTTCCTAACCTGGGCCTTATGTGACCAGCGAGAAAAGTCTTTCCAAGGACGTCCCAGAAATCTGCCTTGTGTCCGTGCTCCCACTTTCTCCGAGTAGAGAGGGGTTAAGTGGTCCGTCTCATCCATGTCTGGAAGGGGTCTGGGCTCCAAAGCAGTACGACTAGTGCTTGAAAAATTGGATTTTGGTTTTTAGCGAGGAAAGGTAAGAATGGCTAGGAGGTCGGTCTTTTCTCAGCGTCTGATGCGTGAATATTCCGTCTGTGCCAAGTCCTTCCTCGTGAATAGACCGTGTCCCTCCTCTGCTGCCTGCACCCCCTGCCCTGGACTTCGCATCCTGCGTTCACGGAGCTCTCAGGAACCATGTTGTCGATTATCTAAACCTCCCTCTCTCTCTCTCTCTCTCTCTCTCTCATGTTCAGCCTCCACCCCACACTGATCTTCCTGGCTGGTTTTACATGTTCTCAAACACGCCTGCAATCGA